AAATAACACATGTTCTCACTCTTAACTGGGAGGGGGAAGAAGGAAGGAAGGAAGGAAGGAAAGAAGGAAGGAAGGAAGGAAGAAAGGAAGGGAAGGGAAGGAAGGAAGAAGCCAAAACAATATGTTGAACATTCAGAAGGAGAGAACAAACCTAAAGATACTAGAGATGAGCGGAAAGCAAATTTTGTCCCTCACACTTTCTGATTTCCAAACATATTACAAAGTTACAGTAATCCAGATAGTATGAAACTTGCATAAAGACAGAGATTTAGACCAGTGGAATAGAACAGGAGTCCCAGAAATAAAATCTCATACAAGAGGGTACTTCAAAATATTTGTGAAAAAATAGAATAAAAGATAATATTTTTTTTTTCCTTTTTGTCTTTTTTCGTGTCCGACAACGGATCGCAACCCTCAGTGTCGCACCTGTATCGGACCGGGACCGGCAACGGGATCGCAACCCTCGGTGCTGCGCCCGCACCACGCTCAGCCAGTGAGCGGGAACCGGTCTGTATGTGGGATCCGAACCCTCAGCGGCAGCGCTGCCGCGCTCCCAAGCGGCGCACTGTAGCAGTGCGCCACTGGGCCGGCCCTAAAAGATAATTTTTTAAAGTACCCTCATATACGGTCAAATAATCCTCATCCAAAATGGCACGACTACACAATCAGGAAAGGGTAGTCTCTTCAACAAGTAATGCTGGGAACACAGGACACACATGTGCGAAAAAAATCGGACCCTTACTTTACACCATTTAGGAAATTATATCAATTGACATGCTGTGCACCTTGGTTGTCTGTGATAGTAGTCAAATGCCTCCCTGAAAATCTCCCAGTCACTTGTAGGCTATTGTGGGAAGAAGCAGACAACATTTGGCTGGGGAGGGGAGTCTCACTGGATGTCTGTAACCTGCTGCTCCCCTCCCCAGCCAAATGTTGTCTGCTTCTTCCCACAATAGCCTACAAGTGACTGGGGGATTGTCATTGAGGCATTTGACTACAATCACAGACAAAGAGGGTGCACAGCATTTAGGTTACAGATACCCCATGAGACTCAGGGAGAAGGAAACAGAGTGAGAACTCAAGAACAGCCTGTCACATGCTTTCCAGCTGAAGACCCACAGGTGACTCCCAGAGCCCTCTTACCTGTAACAGGAGAGAATGTGGAACAGACACTTCCCACACATGATGGAGGCAGACACAGTGGTTATTATCCAGACTTCTGAAATAGATAGGATGCTATCAGACCCCTCATACAATAAACCAGAAACAGTATTTTCAAAATGCACAAACACACTGCTAAAATCTATGGCCAAAAGCTATTCTACTTCCTTCAACATATTCCTTGTGTAAATAAATGTTTACTTATTTTTCTCTTTTATTTTTAGCTACACACACCTTTGATATGCTGTATTTTCTGCACATTCTTCTCCTTCGGTGCTAATATTTCCACTTCACAGTGAATAAAGAGAAGTTTTATTCTCTTAAATTTCTAAAGTGTGCACTTTACAGGTATCCTCCTTCCTGCCCTCTAACATTATTAGTATTTGGATTTCTAATTGACATTTCATGGGAGTGAAAACCAACCCTCCTCAATAACACAGCACTCAGCTGCAAGGATAACTGAGATAACGGGTTCTCAACTATTCACTCATCCATTCACCCTGTTTTTAATATTTAGAATCTGATTTGCCTTCAGAAAGATTGCGTTTGTGAGAGAAGGATGCAGAAACAGAAAGGAAGATGAGCCGTTGGTTTTAAAGTGTCTGTAGAAGCTGAATACCAATATGTGTATTAAAAGCATAATAAACAGGTAACACATCTTCATGATTAAACACACAGAACAAAATAGAAATAGAAGGAACCTGATAAAGAATATCCGCTAAAATCTTACACCTACTTCGGAATAAATTTTTGAAAGTTCAAGATGTTTATAGCAAAAACAGAACTGCTTTTTTGCGTGAAATTAGAAAAGACCTAAATAAATAAAAATACATGTCTGGTTTATGTATCTAACATTCATTGTTAACATGATGAAACTTGCCAAACTGACATGTAGATTCAATACAATCCGTATTAAAACTTAATCTACATTTTTTCCCCCAGAAATGCTCATCTTAAGATTTATGTGAAAGTGCAAGCGACCCAGTATAACCAACATAATACTGAAAAATTTGCTGTAAAGCATCAGTAATGAAGGCAACGTGATAGTGACAGAGCACAGAAAAAAATATATGTATCAGTAGAATAGCATTGAAAGTCAACAAACAAATGCTCACATTTATGGTAAACTGATTACCAACAAATGAGAAGACAATGTAAAGGTAAAATTTAGGGTTTTCAACAAATAATGCTAAGAAAACTGGATATTTGCAATGAAAATAATGAGGTTAAACTCTTGATTCAGTGCATACAAAAAAATTAACTCAAAATGGATCATACGCCTAAATGTAAAAGATAAACTATAAAACTCTTATGTGAGAATATAGAAGCAGAGTTTTGTGACCTTGCTTTGGGAAGTGGTTTCTTAGACATGACACCAGAGGACCTGTGACCAGCAGCTTAGTCAATGTGACTACCACTATGTACCAATGTGAACCTCATGGTAGAAGCATTTTGGTGTATTTCAAGCACTCTTTTTCTTCATCCCATTAACCACTGGTGTTAGACAATAAGTCAAACACGCACATTGACCTCAAGGTCCACGTGGCTGGATGCGGAGATGATCGCTTCTGCATGGGCAGCATTTTTTATGAGACCCTCTCATGGAGAGTAATGTCCCTCAGCTGTGGCCACACAGAAGGTCTGGGACTGTGGATTTCACAGTAGGACCTCAGAAAATTCTAGCCTGGTGGTCTTCATCAGTTCTGGTATATTACATTTCTCTATGTTGCAGGAAGAACAATGCAATGTATATGTACAGCTTTATGCAGATTCTTTCTAAATTAATTAAGACAAGAAAGTAGAAACAATGTGCATTTATATTGCCTTTTTATAGGTGGTCATTTGCCTTTACTGTGGCCCCATGTTTTTTGTGTGTGAATTTGTATTATTGTCT